AAACTGCGTGCACCTTGTTGCCAGTTTCGCTTTTCCGCGGCGGCTCCAGTTTGCCTTAAGGGACAGCTGCGACCGCTTTCTCAACGCCAGTCTCACGTATGTGTCCATTTTGCAGTTGTTCGGTGCCCCGCAGCGAAACTCAGGCTCGTCGTCCTTGGAAGGACGCCGAACAAGCGCAACACACACAGCACACGCGATTGACCGACCGACCGACCAACCGACCGGTCTCGGTCATGCGTTCGTTCAGCGCTGCTCGTCCCTTCTCTTTGAGTCAATAGATTTTGGAGCATTGAACGTGTACGCACGCAGCGCCTGGTTCTAGTAGCCGTCTGAGGGACAGCCTCAGCGCGTCTCGTCTTTGATATCGATTTCAGTCGCAGCATCTGCCATCGAACAAGACTAGATTTCGTTCTTGTCTCCTTGTCGGCGGAGGCTTTTTCTCCATGTGCAGCAGCATACCGCTTTTTAAGCATTCCCTATTGACCTGTCGAGTGTCGTCCCACAATTCGTAACGCACCGCGCTTCAAGGTGATGTTCAGGCAATTCGATCACACGGTGAACTAGACGTCCATTTCTATGGGGCTTGTTTCGCTAAGGAAGGCCCTTCTCATGCGTTTATGCAACCTCCGAGTCGAGATCGTAAGTTGTAGCAGACTTCAGCTCCACGTTCGCTGCTGCTGGGTGCTCGGTGCCCATGCACTCAACGCACCAGCAGCAGATGCAGATGAAAGACTAGTTTCATCTCTAACTCTGATCGAATCAATACGACATCGATTGCCCATGTCCATCGCGGTAGCCGCCATCGTCTCCGCCTGGCGGCATGATTCCTGAGCGACTTGAGCGATCTCCTGCGTAGGTTTTAACGCTCGCGAAGCGACCAAAATCGTCAGGGTGAGGGTGAAGCGAGTGACCGATTCGTAAGCAGCTTTCTGAGGAAGTTTGACGTTCAGCTTTGACGCTACCTTATCGGCGCCTGCGTCGTTGCCCCGTTTAAAGTCAGCAACCCCCTTTGCAGGCAGCGTGCGATTGACGTACAGGTTATATCCCCCGGGGCGCTTTTGTTCGCCGCTCGGTGAGCCGAGCCATCACAATTAGGTAGATGACCATCGTCGACGACCCAGTTAACAAGGACAGTCAGTGTTCGATTCGGACGTGGACAATGAGCGGTCGTTCGCCACTCTCCCAAGACATTTGCACGTTCGATCGGCGACGCGGCGCCTCTCCATGATATCACGACAGCTGTGAACTGCCGCCTGGTCTTGGCAGTGACCGTGCCATGGAAAGTAAATTAAAAAATTTTTGCTTCTTTGACGCTCAGCATCCGTTTTAACATAATCTCCCTTTCGACTTTCGCCGTTTTGGTTCCTGAGTCGAGCACTGACTGCATGCGGTTATGGTGTGAGGGAGCACGAGTCTGTGTCTTGCCTTGTTTCCGAACGGCAACCTGGCCGATGCACATCGATAGCTAAACGAGGGGGACACGCCACCAACGGAAATCTGGTGAAATTTCGATTTAAGCGTTTGCGCTAAACATTAAATTCACGTCGTTTGCGAAAATCTATTGCCGCTCGACAATTTAGCTTGTATTTAGCAAATTCGTTTAAGCGAACCTTACCGATGGACGTTGATCATGGTTAGTGGCAGTAAGTCCGACAGCTATCGGCGGTCAGTACTTCAGATACAGAAGCGTGTCACATGCGCAACGCCATGAGGTCGGTTTCCGTAGTTTACAACTGCCATAGTTAGTACAAGGGCAATGAAAATTCTATACGGGCTGTTTATGGTTAGCCATAAAAAAGCATGAAGCCTGCCAGACCCCGGACTTTACGTTATATGCTTGCGGTAGCCGTGATCTTGCTGGCGAATTGCTAGTCGAGAGAATGTATATGCGCAAGGCTAACTCACTGTTCCTATGAATTACAGATTTGGTGGTCTATATTGTATATAATTAAATATGTTAATTGTGCTCTATGCGATGCTTTATTGAATGAGCGTTTGTTTTTTTCACGCGGTGAGACGTCTGCAAAATATCTGAAAGATAATTAGGAGGAAAACTTATCTTGCGGTAAAATATCGGGAGGCTTCAGCGTCGCTTCCAACCCTTCGAAGGTGAATATGGAGTACCGTTGGTATTGTTGCTTGTAGAGAATATTTTCATATTTTCGATTTCAGCATTCCACGTGAACATGAGCTATGCACGAGGTGAAATGTCGAAGACTTGAGACACGACCTGTGCCGAAGACAGCAGTAGCCTAAAATAACTCTGAATCGCTGTTTCATAAAAATTGGTCGGTCATTGAGTACAGCTCCTTTACGCTGACCATCAGTGTCGTGGCTATAAAAGCTAGAAGCCTTGATCTTGGTGCCTGCAGTTTGTCTGATGCTCTGTTTAGATTTTGCGGCTTACGTCTCGTGTTAATTTTTGATCACCAATCAGGTAGATCAAGGCTGTTGTAAGGCGCATGCATCAGACATCATGGCCATTCGTTTCGCTCTCCTTTAGCATGACCGTAGCAGGGTACCATGCTGTACCCAGTGTTCTTAGGTGAACTACTTGACCCTCGACTTGTCTCTCAGCTTTTTGCACAGAAGCACATTGGAGAGAATTTCTTTTTTAGGCGAATTAGCGGTTAATAAGAAAATTTTGCATGGAAAAACTCATTTTGGGAATATCAAGAAAGATAGGGAGACGAATGAATGGATAAAGACACAAACAAGAGTCTGCGATTTCATTGTCCGGGTGAAGAAGCTGAAATGGCAATGGGCAGGGCGCGCTGAAAGAAGAACTAACTGTCGCTGAACCATTGAGACGTTAGACTGGGTTCCAAGAGTGAGTAAACGGCCCGGAAAAAGATCTCCAGATCGATGACAGGATAAGCTGAAGAAGTTTGCTGAATCAAAATGGAAGAAAATGGCGGATAAGTTTATGGTAAAGTTTTGGAGAGGCTTTCATCCACAAACGATTCTACGCAGGCTGATGATGATAAACAGAATTTTACGCCGCACTTGAATCCGGATCCTCGACTAAAGCGCAACGCCAAATTATATTAATCTCTGCACTACTGCTCTCCAGATAAAGTTGGCTTTGAAATTTGTTCTTTCACGAGAGGCGGGTAAGGGGTAACGAGAATGCTGAAAAGAGTCACCGCTATACCTGTAGTGTACTGCTTTTAACTCCTTGATAGTATGGACTAGGCACATGCTACGTTACAAATGACACCAGCGTGCTGATCAGAACGGCGTTGACCACTGTTCCTGATTACTTAAACCAAGAATTTCAGGCAGAGCTACTGGAGAGGCTCGAAAGACTTTATTTTGCCGTCAAGCAAGTCCCTTCTTCATTCTTGGTGATTTATTCTCTAAGAACAATGACAGGATTGACTTCGAGGAATTCGTTTAGTCATGTCTAGCACTACATCAAATGCTGCCTCAGAAAAAGAGAGGGCATCATTGATGCTGTCTGATTTTTAAAATCTTGAATACTCTATTTTTATCGCAGTTATACCCATCGTCAAGATTATAATGGAGTATTGCGTAACTGACTTGCCAGAGACAAACCTTGACAGCCCGGTATATACATGTATACCTATTCATACCATATTTAAGCAAATAGAAATTACTCGGTGCCCCAGTCAGAGGTCTTGGTCGCGTTCTCATTAGTTTTGTACGCACTGATGAGTAAGTACCTTGTTAATTTAAGACAGCTCACATCAAGTTTAAACTTCGAATGTTAGATTATGATTGCCACTGCGAGAACGAATCTGCTTTCAGAATATTGCAGTGCAGTGTGTATCCTCGATTTAATGGATTTTGAATATGTGATTTATGGAAACAATCGTGCAATGAACTTGCCTCCATATCTTGCATCCTGAAAGACATTGGTTGGCAGCCTGGAGCAGAATGGTACTTTTATGATTAGAGACTAATTATTTTGAACAACGAATTCACTTCAATCGACGGCATCGATTTCAACGTCCAGGGTTCAGCTACGATAAACGATGAAACATCTCATTGAGATGCCACCAGTTGCGACAGTTCGGCGTTCAGATATAGACTTTCAGTACTTTAGAAATTTTCGATGAGCACATTATATGGCTACAGCTGTACTGCACTTTGATAACTGACCGGTTGTAAGTCACATAATGATGGGTGTCAGGCGAGGGACCGGTACAGTCGCGCCACCTTTAATTTTTAGTATTTTTATGAAGTTCTCTACAGTGTCGTAGTTATGTTATTTAATATCCTTTTTGAATAGAACCATGCAGCGGCAATGGCCTGTATAATGCTGTTCTTTCAAGTGTCAGATTCTCAGAAAAAAATTAGCAGCTAGTGAAGATTTTGAGGCATGTAAACAAGAAAACCGCGCAAATTTGTGCCTCGAAAATGATGCCACGTGATTTACTACCGCTGCCGTTGCTGCCTCAAACATGGATGACGAAAAGTCAAATTCGTTAACGATTCGTTAAACTAAGATAACCTGTGCATGCTTCATTCCCAACAGCATTCAGTTTCGAAACAAAA